AGCCACAATGATGAGTAACATACACATATCCGTAGACTATATTACCATCTTCATAGTGGGTAGTAATATAAGTGTGATAACATGCAAAGCTTCATTTATTAGGTTATAGATTCATATTGCATTGGGACATGTGATGTTACAGTAACTAGCTAAGTTACTATAACTACCTCTCTCCTTATTAACTCACTGCCACATAAGCAAATTTGCTAAGTTGGACTCAATGTTACTGCTGAAGTTACTCCCACTATGGCTAGTCTAACATTTCTTCAGGAAGGCCTTGGAGAAATCCCTTGCAGAAGGTGAGATAGAGATACTTCGTACATGACTTTCCTACTTTGACCTGTTAGAGCGCTTTTCCGTGCTTAATTTGTTGATTTATTTACGTATCTATGTTTGGTGACATCATCTAGTCTTCCTTAAGTAGTTTCTCCAAACTTCAGTGCTATAAAACTACTGAACATTTTTTTGATTCACTTTATTTCTTTTGAAGACGATAAGTCGATCATGTTGTTATGACCTGGTGGATAGTTTTTCTCTGATCATCTTAATCAGAAAGAGGTACATCAATCTTTGAACCCGTGAAAGCTTGGGAGTCTGACGTGAAAAACCTGAAACATCAACTGGTTGGTGTAGAGGATGACAAGGTACGTACTTATTACGGAACCACGAGCCCATCAACTTATTGGGAGGCTTTCTTCAGCTACAGCCCTCCCAAAATAACTAACCGACGGACAGGTAGCTCTATTTGTGTTCGTGCCTGTTTTATTTAGTCCCACCTCGGGCAGCCACCAGGAGAGGAGGCAAATAAATGCCAGTCTCACCATCAGGAGAGGAGGCGAAGGCCGAAAATTGGTTGGAGAGGAGGAGCGCGTGCGCTCCGGGTATCTCTCACCATCGGACCTGTTGTGGGGATGCGGGCTGTACCATATATTATATGGTTTCCAGCGGTACATGCAAGACATACGGGGGGCTACGAAATGACATACGTATGTAACCGAGATGGGATAAAACAGTTGTTTGGCCCCGACGCGGGGGTCGATTATGTTCCAAGGTGTACCAGCAGAACAACAATAGGGGTGACACCTCCAAAAGGATTAAAAAATCAAACCAGACGCACCCGAGAATATTGTGCGCACTGTTCTGTCGGTGCCCTCTCTGTCAACCATAGTTTTTTGTACAAGGAACATGTGCGTGTGATTTTCAGTTGCTTTGGTCATACAAAGATTAATTCGAACCATAAAAGCGGGACTTTGGGTGTGTATGTGTACAAATGGGGGCTGCGGCCCATTCCGTCCTCTTCCGCCTGATCCGCCGCGGTAGTAACTGAAGGAATGAACTAAGCTCTGGGCCATGTCCCATTTCTGTAAATAAGAGGCAGGATCACAATCCTCATTCTAGCATATATCGCGAGATGCATAAATGGTCCGGATTCCAGGAGCCTGTGAGCTCGGGATCACATTAGCATTTTTGCATATTAGTGATACTATGTTTGTCTATGTATTCACACATGTATTATATTTCCGGTTAATACAATTCTAGCATGAATAATAAACATTTATCATGAAATAAGGAAATAAATAATAACTTTATTATTGCCTCTAGGGCATATTTCCTTCAGTCTCCCACTTGCACTAGAGTCAATAATTTAGTTCACATCACCATGTGATTTAACACCAATATTCACATCTGTATGTGATTAATACCCACAGTTCACACCGTCATGTGATCAATACCCAAAGGGTTACTAGAGTCAATAATCTAGTTCACATCGTTATGTGATTAACAACCAAAGAGTACTAAGGTATGACCATGTTTTTGCTCGTGAGAGAAGTTTTAGTCAACGGGTCTGTCACATTCAGAGCCGTATGTATTTTGCAAAATATTCTATGTCTACAATGCTCTATACGGAGCTACTCTAGCTAATTGCTCCCACTTTCAATATGTATCCAGATTGAGACTTAGAGTCATCTGGATCAGTGTAAAAGTTTGCACCGATGTAACTTTTACAACGAACTCTTTTATCACCTCCATAATCGAGAAACATCTCCTTAGTCCTCACTAAGAATATTCTTGACCGCTGTCCAGTGATCTGCTATTAGATCAAAATTGTATTCCTCTGCCAAACTCAGAGCAAGGTATACAATAGGTCTGGTTCACAGCATAGCATACTTTATAAAACCTATGACTGAGGCATAGGGAATGACTTTTCATTCTCTTTCTATTTTCTGCCATGGTCGGGTCTTGAGTCTTACTCAACTTCACACCTTGCAACACAGGCAAGAACTCCTTCTTTCACTGTTCCATTTTGAACTATTTCAAAAAAATTATCAAGGTATGTACTCATTGAAAAAGTCTTATCAAGCGTCTTGATCTATCTATATAGATCTTGATGCTCAATGTGTAAGCAGCTTCACCGAGGTCTTGCTTTGAAAAACTCTTATTCAAGTATCCTTTCATGCTATCCAGAATTTCTATATCATTTCCAATCAACAATATGTTATCCACATATAATATTAGAAATGTTACAGAGCTCCCACTCACTTTCTTGTAAATACAGGCTTCTCCAAAAGTCTGTATAAAACCATATGCTTTGATCAACTCATCAAGCATATATTCCAACTCCGAGATGCTTGCACCAGTCCATAGATGGATCACTGGAGCTTGCATATTTTGTTGGCACCTTTAGGATTGACAAAACCTTCTGGTTGCATCATATACAACTCTTCTTTAAGAAAACCATTAAGGAATGCAGTTTTGACATCCATTTGCCAGATTTCATAAAATGTGGCAATTGCTAACATGATTCGGACAGATTTAAGCATCGCTACAGTTGAGAAAATCTCATTGTAGTCAACACCTTGAACTTGTCGAAAACCTTTTTGCGACAAGTTGAGCTTTGTAGATAGTAACACTACTATCAGCGTCTGTCTTCCTCTTGAAGATCCATTTATACCATATGGCTTGCCGATTATCGGGCAACTCCACCAAAGTCCACACTTTGTTCTCATACATGGATCCCATCTCAGATTTCATGGCCTCAAGCCATTTCGCGGAATCTGGGCTCATCATCGCTTCCTCATAGTTTGTAGGTTTATCATGGTCTAGTAACATGACTTCCAGAATAGGATTACCGTACCACTCTGGTGCAGACCGTACTCTGGAAGACCTACGAGGTTCTGTAGTAACTTGATTTGAAGTTTCATGATCATTATCATTAGCTTCCTCACTAATTGGTGTAGCAACCACTGGAACTGATTTCTGTGATGAACTACTTTCTAATTCGGGAGAAGGTACGATTATCTTATCAAGCTCTACTTTCCTCCCACTCACTTCTTTCGAGAGAAACTCCTTCTCTAGAAAGGATCCATTTTAGCAATGAATATCATGCCTTCGGATCTGTGATAGAAGGTGTACCCAACAGTTTCCTTTGGGTATTCTATGAAGACGCACTTCTCCGATTTGGGTTTGAGCTCATCATGCTGAAATTTTTTCACATAAGCATCGCAACCCCAAACTTTAAGAAACGACAGCTTAGGTTTATTGCTAAACCATAGTTCATACGGTGTTGTCTCAACGGATTTAGATGGTGTCCTATTTAATGTGAATGCAGCTGTCTCTAATGCATAACCCCAAAATGATAGTGGTAAACCGATAAGAGACATCATAGATCGCACCATATCAAATAAAGTGCGGTTATGACGTTCGGACACACCGTTACGCTGTGGTGTTCCAGGTGGCATGAGTTTGTGAAACTATTCCATATTATTTTAACTGAAGGCCAAACTCGTAACTCAAATATTCATGTCCATGATTAGATCGTAGAAACTTTATTTTCTTGTTACGATGATTTTCCACTTCACTCTGAAATTCTTTGAACCTTCCAACTGTTTCAGACTTATGTTTCATCAAGTAGATATACCCATATCTGCTCAAATCATCTGTTAATGTCAGAAAATAACGATACACGCCGCGAGCCTTAACACTCATCGGATCGCATACATCGGTATGTATTATTTCCAATAAGTCAGTAGTTCGTTCCATTGTTCCGGAGAACGGAGTTTTAGTCATCTTGCCCAAAAGGCATGGTTCGAAAGTATCAAATGATTCATAATCAAGTGATTCTAAAAGTCCATCTTTATGGAGTTTCTTCATGCGCTTT